GATGCTGACGAAGGGCCGGGAAATGCTGGGCTCCCAGCAGTGTCCCTGCCCGCGGGAGCCGAGGCGCCCTGAGGAGCCGAAGCTCCTTCGCCACTCACCGTAGCGGCCTCCAAGGGCACGGGGAGGGAAGCCCTGGCTGTGCCTCCTGCCGCCGCCGGCGATGTCTGAGCTGCCTATCAGCTTACTGTCTCTCGCAGGTACTGGCACAACCTGCCCAGGAGCCGTCGAAGACAACTGGGCAGGCTCGTCCAACACGCTTTGTTGAGACTGGGAACAGAAACAGAGTCTCTTTATGAAACACTTTTTTCTTCTCCAAAGGCAAGAGGTATGTGGTTGTAAGGGCTAGCTATCATTGCTCCAAAATCTACAGTTCTATAAGCTGCTGTCACGGTTTAACCACGTGGTTAAGATACGTTTAAACTGCAACTCAAACTCCTATGCCAAAGTTTTAATTTTCTTCCCTTTTTGTGGCAAGATATTTTAAGAATTTCTTGTGAAACTCCTCTGTAAGTACTAACCTCCGTTTAAACTGCCCCTGCATATATTTCTCGTATAATATTTACTATGGGCAGCTCAGTTAGGAAAATTACCTTATATATAAGTTAAATGACTACTTGCTTGAGTTTTAATTGTCCATAAACCCACTCAGAATAATCTAAATCAGTAATAGTGAGAAAGACAACAGAGGAAGTTATCACAAAGCAAATTACTCCTTATCTATTAATGCAATGCTAATATATCAAGGTTTATGATACATCAGTTAAAATTTATTACTAATAAGAATACAAAAGGCTGATCCTGCTAAAAGCCCCATGTACAGCTAGGGGCAACAGTCCAAAGTAACGGACAAAGCACAGGACCCATAAAACATAACACCTTTGTGAATAGTTTCTTGCATGCATTTTTAATCCGTGTGTATTAGAGTGGGAACTCGAGGAGAAAAATGGGGCAAGTAGATGAGATGTGGAAAAGGTAATGCACAGCTTTCCCCTCCTTAGTCACAGGATCTGAATTGTGCAGACTCTGTGAGAACTGGTGCAGCCTAAGAGATAAAACAGATGTTTAGATTTCATCGAGGCATTTTGACCTTGCAAGGTTTACTTTTTGGTCAGTGACCGTTTCACAACAAACCAAGAAGTGCTGTCGAATTAGCAGTGCAGAAGCTGGCTGCAAAATTCCCAGGGTCACAAGTGTTTTGTTCAGCTGCACCCTGAACACTCTACATAACGTTTCTGAAAGTGTTCCCTTCTTCTTGTAGTTCAAATATTAGCACTGCTATCCATCATTGTGCTGAAGACCTTATCATCCACGGGAAGGATCCTGCCAAAAGAAGGAATGTGCCTGCTGATGAGAGGATTCAGCTCTGCCGACAGGAGTGTTGGAGGAGAGACAGAGTATCGAGTTCAGTACACAGAGCAGGTTTACAGCACTGCAAATGTATATAGGTTTGTAAACAAAAAATTTCAGCATGGTGATTAAATAGAAGATCTTAGATTTATAAACTAAACATTCCAGAGCAGCTAAACAAGGCTCAAACAACTAACAAAAAACACTAGATAGAAAAGTTTTGGACAATTTAATTGCACAAGTGTACTGGAGTGTCTTTCCTGTTTGATCACTGAATCTTTCTGGTTTAAGCCATAACAAATCCAGATTTATTAGGTCTTCAGCAAACAGTTTTTGTATCAGACATTTTCCTTTCCAAATACAAGGAGATTTAGGACCTGTGTGTCTTCAGCTGGCACAAAGCTAGAACAAAAGTCCCAAAACCCAAATCCAGCAGTGCATCCTTGTCTTAAAGGGGAAGGTGAGATCCAGCACAGACAGCAGCAAGAGCTGGTCCAGGCATAGTGCAGAGCAGCACAGGAATGCAACTGGAGACTATCAGTATAGTTCACAACTAGCAGACACATTGCTGTAATAGTCCAAACTGAATTTACTGATGAATGAAGTAACAATCGATCACTGTCATTTGGTAGTTACCTTCTTAAAACCATCAGGAACATCAAGAAATCAGGTAGTTCTCTCCTGTCTGAAGACACAACTATATCCTATGTCATCCTATTTTCAGGAGGCTCTTGATGTTGAAAATTCCTTAGGCAATCTTAGTGCTCCCTACAATTACCTGTCAGAAGATCTTACTAAGAGCAACTAAGTTACTGTTCAATTTAGTCCTACCTTTTATATTAAGAAATTATGTGCAGGCAACCATGTAACATTAATGAACTTCAGTGATTAATGTGCTATGCTGAGCAAGTATCAGAACTGAAGAAGTTTCATGTGTTTCGATCTGTTCTTTAATCTGTGACATCTAGCTTGTTAAGCAGGCAGTCTTTCTTCCTTCAGGGCTTCCACCTATTACATTAGCCCTCCTTTGGAGGGTGAATGCATACTGCATTTACATACAATTTGGGCAACAGGACCTGCTTGCAAACAGCTTTTCCTTCAAAAAAAGTGCATCCTTTTTATTTAATAAGGGACAATATGGTGTCAGAAGTTAAATTTCCAGCCATTTTCTCTAAACTATTGCTTCATTCTGTTTTCTCCATTCTGTCTGTGCTGCTGGTGTATTTTCCAGTCTGAGAGCCATCTGATGTCTCCCTCCCAGGGAAGTGAGACACAAAACACTGGTATACCTTTGCCATGGCATTTCTCACAGCTGGCTTGTAACCCATCTCCTCTACCTTGTAAGTTTCATGGGCCTTGTTCCATTTTACTGCACTTGTTAGCACACACGGGATCAGGATGCACCTGCAAACTTGTGGCACGTGATACTTTCTTGAGTTGAAGGTTCCAAGTTGGCACCATCCACAGAGAACATTTCATCTAACAATAGGCTGTGTTCCTTCCAGCTCAATTTACACACAGCTGAAGATTCCTCAACACAAATAAATGGTAATCTTGAGTAACCTGAAACTATTTGTATACTGTGAAGGGGGGGAAGGGGAAATTGTCTGCATATTCTAAAAACTGAATAAAGAAACTACAGTGAAAGATATTCAGAGATGTATGAATAAACCTCTTCAGTAAAAGCAATTCACAGGTTTACAGTTGTTTGGAAATATTTAACCACAAATAGCTGGTAACTAGTCCATTACAGGAATTTTTCATAATGAAAAACCATTAAATGAATTTTTATCTCACAGTAATTATAGCTATCATGCCGAACCTTTGATTCAAAATTACTTTTTAAAGGATAAAGTATATGCCAGTATTTTTAATCTGAATAGCAGGTATTTATCTTAAAGAGATTCTTAACTTTAAAAGAAATTCTGAGCCATAGAAAACCAGTACAAGCAAATGCTCCTTTTAACAGTTTAAGTCTTCCCCAGATAACCCTTTATAATTTCCTTGATGCTTAATCAACATGCTTTTTTTAAAAAAAAGACTCCCAACTACTCAAGAAATGTATTTGAAAACTAAATGTCTGCCAAATACTAGGCATTAGCAGTGTTACTTCTGGAAGGAGCAAATATGTTTTAGAAGTAAAAATTGTAGCTGAAGTTTCAGGGAAATCATCAGTTTTCCATTATTATATAACATCTGATCAGGCAATTTCTGATTTGAGTTGCTTTAAATACCACCACTGCCTTATGCTGACAGCAACACAAAACAAAAGAGAAATTTGCACGTCAACCCATAGTAACAATATTAGGATTTTGAACAGCTACAAATGCACCATTTGTATTTTCAGGTCCATACCAAGGTGAATTCAAAACCACCCAACCCCAAAGCAGCAGCTGGTTAAAAAAAAGAAAACGTAAGTCAAATCATAAAGCTACATAGTTTAGTACATTAAAGCAAAACTAAGGACAATGGTATTTGTATAAGGTTCCAAAACTATACAGATGAGAGGGAAAAATAATCACTGTGCACAACTCTGAGGTGGTTAAAGTGACCAGAGAGACTGAACAGTGCAAGACATGCTTTTCCAGTTACAAGTTCAAAACAGAAGTGCAAAAGAAATTAAAGTTTTGTCTGAAGTGATTCACCTTTTAGGATAAGGAAAGCTTAGAATATTGTCATCAATGTTACAGACAAATTTCCACCCCAACCCCAACACAGACACACAAAGTAGTTTAAGTTTTTCCATAATACAGCGTTTCATTCAAATAGTGTCCCCTGAGCTTGGTGATTGTGGGGACGGTTTGTCTGACATGTAGTAGATGTTAGCCTATGAATCAAGTGATGCACAGGCAGCTTCTCAGTTCCCCAGCTTTGGCTACCAATACCTGTCTTACAGGCAGGACAAGTGGCAGACAGCCTGGGTCCCAACGCTCCTGCCACTCACTTCCTAAGACCACCTCACTGTAAGAAAGCAATTGTGCTGAAAGCAGAGTCTAAGTCATGCCTGATGAACAAAGAAATTGCTTTATAGGTGTCTGTGCTCTCTCCCAGAGTTTGGAACAATTTCAGTCAAGTGCTTTTGGCAGGCTGACTAAGCTGTACATGCATCTATCCATGCAAATGTAGAATATGGCTCCCAAAACCTAGAACCAGGGTCTGTGCATATGAAGACTAGATAGAAGGCCCTTCCTGGAGTTTACAAAAATATATAGCCAATACCGTAGCTTAAGAAGTCAGTTTTACTCAGTACAGAGAACCCCAAAAAGTATTTACTTTTCAGACATTCCAGACAAGGTCACTTGTAACAAAAACGGTCAAGTTCTCAAAAACAAGATTTTAAAAGTGGATCTTTCCTTCAAGTGAACAGGACATCTGTTTTTACGCTTAACTTTTTAGTCAGTTAAGACAATTTATTTAAGATTTGATGTGAACATATGCATAAAGACAAGTTTACTTTAAACACATCTGCACAGAAAAAAAAGGTTAACCCTTCAAAACATAACAGAGCAGGTCTGGTTAGTATGTAACTATTGCAAACCTTAAGATTCTGTGCATTAGGCCCACCCATACAGAAAGCAGGGGAGAGGTCAATGAAAGAAAGTTACTGTTCAAGTCTAAGTGGTGTTCTGAAGAGGCAGCAGCCTAGGGGACACCATGAAGCTAGTCACAGTATCCAAACAAGCAGACCTGCTTGGGCTACTAGAGCAGTGTATCCTCCTGAAGGCGTCATTTTACTCCCAGGTTATTTTCTGTTTCGAAGGCGTTTAGATTTCCTAGGACAGTCTGTGGAATCAACCGCCTTCCTCCGTTTTCTAGGAGATTGTTCATTTGAGCCAGAACCTGAAGAATTTTCTACTGTGCTCTCCATCACCTCTCGCAGCTTGCGTTCAAGCTCAGCCAATCGGGCATTCTGTTCACCTATGATCTGGGTTTGCTCAAGCAGTTTCTGATCTTGATCCTGGAGCTGTTTCTGTTGCTCCTGCACCTTGACGCGCAGCTCCGAGATCTCGCGCTTCAGCGCTGTCAAGCCTGTGCCATTCGCTTTCACTTGCTGCTGCAGTTTGGTGACTTCCTGCCTCGAAGGGTTCTGCTTGGAGAACAGCTGCATTGTTGTAAGTGCTGCAGAAGGTCCTGGAACTTCAGAGAGAACTGTGATTAATCCTCTGCATCTTAAAAGAAATGGTGTCCAAGTTTTCCTATTTTGCTTATCTCCACTTCCCAAATATGAATCAGAATACCAGTTGCAAGTTACGTGAACATGTAAACAGATTCACAGTTTCTTAAGTGTCTAATAAGAACATATGGTAATCTCAGAGCACAACTAGTTTAATTTAAATTACTTGGAGCTTTTCAGTAGCCTGGGAAACAGCTCATCATTCATTTTCTGCATATAAACCTCCCTCCTTCTCCTGTATCAAAATTACATAATGATATCATGTCATCTAGACTTAGTGTCACAGATGTTAAGTCAAAAACCCAGAAGTCTGTAAATTACTTAATACAGAATAGTTAGCTTGCAGTTGCTGATTCTAATAAAAGTTCCTGAAAATCACAGAAACTAACAGCTACTGTATAATTTCTTTCACTTTTTCTCTTATAAAAGGTATCTATCACTTTTTCTGTCATTTTACTCTTCTAGCAATGCTGTGAAAGTAAGATGGAACTTTTAAGTGCTACACAGACAGAACAGTCTGGAATAGCCTAGAACAGTCATCCTCCTTTTCCTCTTCTTTTTTAATCCATTAGGATGCAGCAGAGCTGCCGTTAGGTGACACTAAGGGGTTGTCATTGGAGAGGTTATGCTCCTCCCTTAACATGAGATAGACATTTTTATGCACCATAAAGCCTTGGACTTCAAAGGCCAATTGACAACAACTATGGTTTAGGGCAGTTATTTCCTCAACTGAGAGACTCAGTATATATCAATATATATATTTGACATACATTTTTGTTAAAAAAAATTAAGAAACCATGTATAATTAAAAAATTACACATATAATTTTTTTAAAGTATAAATAACAGGATATAATTAAGAGGTAGTATAGAAACTTAGGGCTAAAAGGATGGACAGGACATAGAAGAAACAATAAGCTTCTCCTGCAGTTAGGCATATAATTTTTGCTTAAGATGTAATTTTTTTCTATAAGTTATTCTTTTAGAGAGTTAATTTCACAGTTCCTAAAATGTGAATATGTCCTGTACAGGGAGAAGTCTACATTTTTACCAACCTTTTGCCTCTGCCCATTAGGGTAACTTTGACTATGAGGCAACTACCTTAGACTTTGGTTCACAAAAGTTTTGAAAAGTCTGACAGACTATATGAAGGACCAGTTTGTTTACTTATAGACTTGTTATTTTAATTACCTTTTCACTATTACCTGTAAGTATTTTGCTTGTTAGTGTATACAGTAGTGCCCCAGGAAGGTAAAAAAGCACATACAAGCATGTTCTAGCTCTCTATGTACCACAACAGCTTAGGCAAATTCATTTGCTTATTGTTCTAAAAATAAAAGGCATCAATTTGTCATCTTGTGCCAAATTTCAACCAAATGCAATGATAAAGTCTCATTCATGGGTGGCACAAAAGCGTTTGTTTAAGGAATACACACTGTGCATAATTCTAACATACATTCAAGTGACTGTTCTTTCAGTAGTACAAATGCTCCTTAAATTTCAAAGCAAATGAATTTCAGTTAGCATTCTTAAGAAACAAGTACCATCAGTATTTATCTAACAAAGCTCACATTTAAGGGAGGGAGCTTTGAAAAGATATAGTGCTGTGAATTTTTTACAGAATAAATAAATAAATAAAACTTAACTATATATTAGAATGAATACCTGGGGCAGTTCCTATCAGACGTCCCGATACATCTGACCCAGGCATTTTTCTTTTCAGTATTGGAACAATCTTCTCATCAAAATATTCCATAGCCATGGAGGAAATGTCCCTTAGTTCCTGAAGAACTTCATGAGCTCTCTGAGGAGCTCTTGTAGAGTTTACATATCTTAGCACTCGATAAATTTCATCTATTACCTAAAACATTTAAGAAGAATTAGGATTTTCTAATAAACATACAATTATTTCAGTTAATTTAGAAATCCTGACATATTTGGGGGACATTCATATTCTGGCATATTCTTTTACCACATAACAGTTGCATACCACTGTGTGCTTGAGTTCTAGATCAGCTTTTTGAAATGAAGTGCTGTTCACGACATATCAGAGAAACTATTGACTTGATCTATCACAACAGCTCTCTTCAAACTAATGAAATAATGCTCATTATGAGAAATTTTGTTACACTACAGCAATACTTCTAAGTTACATAACCTAGACTCAGCAGAACATAATTTCCTTTTGGAGAACCTGAAATAAGATATTCTCAGCCCCAGTGCAGAACAGTCACCACTTGCATACACCCAAAACACTGCAAATTCAGATTAAATCCAAAATATATTCACTTCAATCCACTACTGACAGAGAACATAACTCTCTTATCAGGTATGACAAACAAGCCCTTTGCTTAGGAGAGACAGAGAGATGAAAGGTGTCTCACTAATCTATACATTACAGACCGAGGCAGGTCAAGACAGGAGTGCTGGTCTCTCAGCCAAAACTACACAGCTATTTAGCACAGGATGAAGAATGTTTGAAGAGTTTCCTGAAGAGCACGGATTGTAAGGACCTCGAATAGTAGGCAAGACAATACAGTCCCACCTTGTGTTTGATAAAGTTTAGCGAAAAAGTTGCAAATGCTAGACAATAGTAAAGTCTCTCATCAAGCAACAAACTAACAAAAGATGTCTCTAATTTCACCCACATTATATCCTGTTAGCAACAACATCCTCAATCTAAAACCTCACAGCAGTGCTGCTATAAGGAACACTCACACAGAATGCTGAACCTCAAATCAGGATTTGCATATTCTAACACAAATTCACTTCCTGGCAGTTGTGTGGTGAAATTTCCTGAGGAAAGCAAAGCAGGTGGGAGGGAAACCACAGAATGTAAGCCTTGAATCTGACTGACCAAAACACTATTTTCTAGTGAACTGGTAACTCTGTCGACAGAGCAGCAGTACTGGCAAACTCATATACCAAGTAAATAATTTAATAAAACCCCAAACATTTTAGCAGCTATATCAGAATATAATCAAGGTCCTTACAAATCACTGCCCACATGGAAAATGGCTGGCAAACTCACTTGCCCAACTCCTGCACACCCCAGATCTGGACTAAGTATTGCCTTTCCATCTACTCTTCAAAGCATTAAGGCAACATCTCTTTTAAGTATTCCATTTACTTTGTCAGTATCAAAGACTTCAGTTCATTTGACTTTGTTACATTATTTTTTTAAATGCATGGTATATATAAAAATAGAATGAAAAGTCAAATAGGAATATATTACACTATAGTTATTTAAAATCAGAATCATAGAGTCAACCGGGTTGAAAAAGACCTCAAAGATCATCGAGTCCAACCCTACCGTCATTACTAGACCATGGCACTAAGTGCCACATCCAGTCTCAGCTTGAAAACCTCCAGGGATGGTGAATCCACCACCTCTCCAGGCAGCCCATTTCCATGCCTGACTACTCTCTCTGTAAAAAATCTCTTCCTAATATCCAACCTAAACCTCCCCTGGCAGAGCTTGAGTCTGTGCCCTCTTGTCCTACTGCTGGTTGCCTGGGAGAAGAGACCAATCCCCACCTGACTACAACCTCCTGTCAGGGAGTTGCAGAGGGTGATAAGGTCTCCCCTGAGCCTCCTCTTCTCCAGGCTGAACACCCCCAGCTCCCTCAGCCTCTCCTCATGGCACTTGTGCTCGAGTCCCTTCCCCAGCCTCATTGCTCTTCTCTGGACCTGCTCCAGCACCTCAATATCCTTCCTGAACTGAGGGGCCCAGAACTGTACACAGTACTCAAGGTGTGGCCTCACCAGCGCCGAGTACAGGGGCAGAATCAAAATTGTTCAGTAGTATTCACATTTAACACACTTTACATTTAAAACTAATTCCCCCTATTGTACAAAAATACACCACCCATTGTAATAGTCAATGGTGTTTCCACATACAAAATATCTTAATTATTCTGAAGGACTCGAACCCTTAAGAAAGTTACCTAAAATATTCCTCAGTGACTGAGTGCTCAGTGTTACACGTATGTCATCTAAATGACTACATCTTCTGATAGCCTGGCCTCCAGCTGTTTTGTACAATGAAAATTCAAAATTAAACTCTACATATATTGTGTCTTTTCTAAAAGGCTAGGGAGGATGTATACACCACAAGTCAAGAATTAAAAAAGAATCTAAGGGCAAATAGAAATCAAGTTTAAAATTATTATTATTATTTAGATATAGTCTCATTCATTTCAGACTGCCTGGTAAAGCAGAGTATTGGCTTGTATGTTTGTTTGCAAGTATCTGAAACAGTTTCTATATATATATATACACAACATATATATATATACATATATATATATATATAACATATATATACACACACATATATCAGTTTGCCCCAGCTGTGCCAGGTTAAGCTACACAACTCTATTAAACACAGATACACATTCATATAATACAGTCTACATTTTACCTTTCCAGGTATGAAGCAACAGAGATTGGAATCCACATACTTCATGAAAGTCATGTTTAACAGAGAGAGCCTGGTTTCGACAGCAGCAAGGATGTCTGCATGACGAGCTAGTGAATGGTTTCTTCTTTCTGACTCTCGTCTGGAAGACAGACCACAAGGTGACACTGATTTAACAAGGAGTCAACAAAATCAAACTGTAACATCATTCACGTTAATTTCACCTTTAAAATCCTTTGAGGCCTGAACTTGTAATGACTAACATTAGCCTTTAAGGAAATAAAAGATACAGACTGTGGACCAGTTAGTAATAGCTGACTATACTTTTTTAGACAAAATTTCTTCTCTAAATAATTACTACATCTTATGTGATCCATAAACTCTGTATGTAATTTAGGACTATTAAGAACAAGCTTTCAGTACAAACTAGCAGGAGACACTGAGACAGTATGAATATTTTCATCTCCCCCTACTTCTATGATTAGTACTTCAATGCAATGGACATAATAAATGTAACATATTAGCAATGCTTGCTACAAAGTTTAGGTTGAGAAATAAGCACTTTTGACAAAAGATCTCGGATCAGTAGTATTTAGTTTCTTCACTCTGGGAAATCTGGTATGACACAGCAGCAGCTCCACTTATTCACAGGAAAGAGGAAAAACATTGTTTTAGTGAGAAACTAGCTCCCACTAATGCTCACATGTCAAACCCCCCTTCCTTTCCCCTGTTTAAACAGTGTCACTAAAAAACCTTGCTTTTTTTTTTAACAGAATCTTTGATCAATGATCAGTGAAGGCAGTTACTCTTGAAAAGGGCGGGCATTTATTCATTTCTAGGAGTCCTTGCTTGATTCACCAGAAGAGTCAAGTAGTACAGGACCCACTCTCCTATGCTTAAAATACCAAAGATACTTTTCACACCATTACTGCATAACTACATCTTAGGTTCAAGGTGCTTTTGAAAAAAATAAATAAAACCAAATGTCACTCAAATTTTCAAGACATGTAAGTGGAATTACCCATCAAGAAATTATTTTTCAAATTTTGCTTAAAAAAAAACCTAACACAATTATATTTAACTAGTTTTAACTGGTACATACCTTGGGAGTTGAGCTTTAACTTGCTTTTGACACAAGTTGTGGTATCTTTCCACTTTCAGAAATCCCTGATTTAACATTCTCTGGCAAACCAGGTCCATTCGCTTACAAACCTGTATTTAAGTAGAGAGAAATCTTAAGGCTCAATTAAGGCCACAATTACTTTTACTATTATCTTATTCATACCTCCCGAGTGGTAAATGATTCTCTTGTTTTTTGCTCCATTTCAACAACTAAAGACTGCAATTGAGACTAAGGTATAACCATCTCCAACAATGATTATGATACTCAAAAAAGGAGCAGCTATGTTTCACATAGTTCACCAATAAATCTCCTGACATTGTCTAACAAGAGACAGTAGGCTGGATGCCACCCATATATAAGCAGATACAACTTCCTCTAATTTTAATGGAAGTTGCACATGCCTGTGTCTGGCTTTTAGCTTGGTCTCCAGAATGATTCTGGTAGATCAAGTTAGTATTTTGTAGTCTCAAAAAAGAAGCCTTTACAGACAAGAACTCATGATGGTTTTCTTCCAGTGTTTAAGGCGTATGTTTTTGAAATCATCCACAATTAAATTTAAAAACATATGCAATACAGTGCACATGAAACAAGATTCCTTCTTGTATAAAAAAGTTCTTTCTTCTCTGTTTAACAGATTCTTTTATTTGCTGTGTTGGATACCAACAGTCTCTTCTTTTTCCCCCTACAGATTTAGGGAGAAAGGACATTAACAGCTGCAGTTAAACTAAACTACCAAATTTAACTTCCACAAATTTACCAGTTACAGGACAAAGATAACTTGCACAGAAGTTTAAAGCAATTGCAATTCAGTTCTGAAGATGCAAGAGCTTAGTGAACCAACTGTCCTTTGAAATTGATTGTGGGTTTTTTGTACTAAAGTGCACAGCTCCCACCGACACCACATTTCCGAATGAATTAGCTGCCTCTTTTTTTAAATAAACACTCCTCTCCTCCACACACTATTCACTTCAGAACTTTTAAGTCTATGTAAGTTTATACCTTGAGGAAGAAGATTCTCAGTTCTGCCAGAAAAGCCAGCACTTATCTTCTGTTTACACAGAAGGCACTACATAAAGAAGTTCTGCTTTCCAAAAGTTCTCTAGTCACAGCAAGCTTAAGGTCTGTGAGAACTGACTATTTTCAAACAGACCTGTACCAACAAACCATGAAGCAAATACTGCGGATCTGTCTGTGCTCCTTGGTATTAGATCTTCTTCGTTAACAGTCAAAGAAGGACCTGACAGGCAAACTACAGACATACACTCTGGCCCACATTCACTGATGCAGTTAAATCATCTCCTGTGTATAAAGACTAATATTGGCCCTTCAACTACAGGAAGGAAGAAACTGACACTTTTTCCTTGAGCTGTACTAAGGGTGCACAGATCTGATACTGGATTTGAGTAGAAGGCTTTACAGCTTACTTGCAGCTCTAATGCTACCAAATCCCTGAACTAGGCACTAGTACCTACACAAGGGCTACGTCAGCTCTGCAATTATTCAGCACAAGAGAAAAACAACCCTCGAGACACGATCAGCAACAGATTCAGAGGAAGCAGAGAGCGATTTTAACCACGCACACACTGACATCTGGCGGCAGAAAGGACCTTCCAGTGTGTTGAAACCCTCCTACATGCAGGACAGTCGCGATGGGTGACACGAAACACGCTGGATTCTTCTCGTTTGCTTAGGCTATGCAGCATGAATGCTCCATTTTCTCCGACATTACCCATAATTATGCCAATAATCAGTCTAGAACCCAAATACTGAGCAGATAACAGGTACCACCAGAAACCAAAAGTGTTTGTTAGCAACTCATTTTGTCCATCACCTCTTAATTCTCATCTGGTTCACAATGTAAACCATATAGCACCTGTATTTATAGGAACAATATATCTCTCCAAGACTGCACAGTCAGCAGTCATATGCAGAGTAGCACCATTATATTTTCAAGTATCCATGTTAGTCCAAGACAGTTTGACACTAGCTATTCAGTGGACTGTAAGAGAGTAAAAAGTTGCATTTTCTCACATTTGTATTTGCAAATTTTGGTGAATATTTTCTTATTCTAGTCATAAAGCCGAAAGAGTCTGAGTTTCCTCATATGTAGAGTCCAACCAGAGCCTATTTTCAAATTTCAGGGTTAGAAAGTTATTTCAACTCCATGTAAAAAGAAGAACAAGAAAGGAGTTGCTTCTTCACAGGCTGACTTATATGCACTAACAGCTTCTGTGATTCTGTGAACTAATTTTCCACTTTATTTGTAAACAAACTAAACTAACACAATCTACTAGATGACTACTACCAACTTCCCTTTCCTAAAGCATGTCTTATTTCTTCCAGGCTTCACTATCAGATAACCAATATCAAAACAGAGATAAAATATTCTAAAGTATTTAGATCCAATGTATATTCTCTTTCTTAGAGGCTATACAGACACCATGTTTCATAAGAGGCAACATGTTGATGACTTCACCAAGAAGCTTTGAAATAGAAATGCCTGTAAACACTGACTTAAACTGGGAACATTAGAGTCATGCTGTCCCAAGGCTACCAGTCCCTGTTTGTGCTGTGCATAAAATAAGCACAAGTTTGCTGCAGAATCTAAGTCAATTCTGACATGTGTCAGAATCCAAGATAACTTTCTCAGAGTGCTCATGGAAGGAGGCTATGGATTGTTTGGTTTTAATCACACTTGCTGTAGTAATAACCTGAATGGAAGTGTCTTTTCAAGCTCAGACATGTGACAGAAAAAGAAACTGGAACACAAGAATTTCATTATTATCCTACTGAGGTAAAAATTTCAAAGCTTCTGTAAGACACTAAAAATATCCCAGTAAAAGGCAGCTTCAAAAGCTGGAAGATAACGAGCTTCCTGATCAGCATGCACACCAGGCTGCAGCTTGTCCAGAACACCACAGCTTCAGACAGAAGGATTTTTTGGGTTTTCTGTGTTTCTCTCATGGTGACTATCAGAGGAAGTAGATGAAGTAAATACCCAAAGGGACTGAAAGCAAAAGGCTGCTGCTTTTCCCCTCATTCGCTTTATCTGAACTAAAGTTTTAGAACTCAAAATGTACATCATTCAGACAAGACTGCATTCTGAGTACCTATTGTTTAGACTCCATTACTTTAGATCTACTTCACTGCTTAACCAATAGGCACTTCATTTATGCCTTCAAATGCAGTAACACCAGGAACAGCACAAAGCATTATGCTCAGGAAAGCAAGTGCTTCTTTGCACAATGAGGGGCCCACGGTCTTGTCTTGCCTGATCACAATCATCACAAGCAGGAAATGTAATTTACCTCATCCTTTGGAGACAAAAAAAGACTTCTGGATCTTAAGTCTGCGATTATGCTTCTCATTATGTTCTATATAAACAATGCATGTTCCTATCTCCATTTTAATCTGAAAACATGCCTGTGTTCTATATCCTCCCACTCTACTGTCTTGTACTCACTCTGGATCCAACACCAGTTCAACACAATTTTTTTAAAAGGTTGGGTTTTTTAGTGGATCACTGAGCTAAGGTGATCCAAAATAACGAAGAGATTAGGACATCCATTTCCTTCAATGCTGGGATCCTGAGCATGCATCGAATTGGTTGGTTTAGGGAATCACTTCATGTCTACACAGGTATGACCAAACTTTGTTTAGGACAACTGATGTCCTGGATCATATGTTCCTGCCTTCCTCACGATGTTTTATCCTACAGAATGCCACACTCTAAGGGGTTAAGGAAGCTGGTTTGGGGCACATTTTTGATATGCACGAGACCTAAGCAATTCAATTAATGTAGCCCTGCAGTGTATCTTTAGCAGAATACACATTCATCTCTGATAAGCAGCTTGAGTCAGTTCTCATAGAAAAGAAAAATTTACTGTTTGTACCAGACAAATCTTAGAGCAGGAATATACAAGTCTTTCCCAAAGCTACTCATCACCTTTAAAAATCTTAAAGTGATGACATTTCATTATGAATTTATGCCTAGGCAATGTTATTTTTAAAGGCTACCTTAATTCGCTGTCAACAGTACCAGGAGTTATGTAAAACATCCTGTGTCTGTCTCTCAGTGAACTGTCAAAAGAACACTTTCAGTTCTTTTGTGCATTTGACAGACCTGGCTGATCAAGCTTATGTGGTCAAACCAGAAGGGCTTTGATTCTTTGCATCACTGCTAGTTAACAAAGACAGAGTACCTTCTTCTCAGAAAAATGCTCATAATGCCTTCTGATGTGCTTAAGGGAGTGATGATGGAGATTAATTTTCTTTGGCTGTCACTGACTCAAAAACTAAAAACAGGGAGACCAACTGAATAGTTTCCTTCATTTTATGTCCAGTATTGTTCTAAGTATGTTTCAAAGTTGGTATTTATCCTGTCTGGCTTAGTGTGTTTCTGAAACCCCTGAGAGGGGCAGCCGCCACCTCAAAACCAAACTTTGGGAGCTACATAAGAGCATGAAAACATCGTTTTTCACTTCTGAAGTACCACTGAGAGTTAAACAGCTGGTTTAGTCCTTTCACCATCACCTTTCCTACTCTCAACTTCACTGCCAATACAGCATTGCTTACAAACACTAATTTAGCACTAAAGAAACAACATTCTGTTGATCGGCGAGAACTCCCACTAGTACAATCATTTATAGAATGAACAGGAAGGTTGGAGCCAAGGGCTGTGTCTAGTGTTATAATACAGATCATGAAACACTAAGCAGACCCAAAGTATGTGATGTACTTCTCTTCATTCAAAGTACCACCCATAATTCTTGAGCCCATCCTGTGCAGGGCCAGGAGCTGGACTTTGATGATCCCTATGGGACTGTTCCAACTCAGAACATAACTGTGATACCCAAAAGCAGAGGCTGCAGCCCAAAAGGCAGGACCACATCTTTTTCACAGATCCACTACCTACTCTCACAGCAAAAGCAAAAGTCTTCAGTGAACTGACAGCATGCTCTAAGAATATTTAGGAACTGGTGCACTTGGTGCAGTATGAATAAGAACAGATTTTCTGCTTGAAGAGCTTTGAGTTTAAAGTTACAGTCAAGATGCAACACTTCAGGTTGCTGATCCAGGACACATGCAGTCTAATTTTCTGCAGAAATAGTCTTGAAATATTATCCATTTTAGGCTAATTGAGTTCTTAAAATAGAAGCAGCATAGTATATGCATGTTTACTGAGGGTTACATAAGCTGTGTATTAATTCCTTCACTATTATTCCATTTACAACTTCATAAGAGATTCAGAAAGACAGCAGCTTAACCTAATATGACATAGTTTACATCAGGCTCCTTTTGCAGGCCGTTTAACTATTGATATATATTGATCTCCTCGCTAACAGCTATGCATTTTTTGGCATTACCAAGTTCAGAGGTAGAGGTAGTATGTTTTATTATATCTACCACTACAACTGGAAGATGCAGGCAGCCTTTTGGGCAGACAAGGGCCTTCTTTGTTACATCTTTTTGCCCCACATTTATTGCTAGACAGGGCAGGGCTCTTGGAGCAGCAGGCTCACCATTTCCTACACTTGTAGGCTTAAGCTCTATAAATAAAAATAAACGTACACATGAGACACAATAAACCATCGCACGCAGTCACTAGGAGAAACGAGCCTCCGGCAGCCCCGCGCGTTCTCACAGAGGCCGAAAGGAACGAAAGAGCCCCGAGACGACAAAAAGACCGTGAGGAAAGCGCGCATGGAGGCGCACAGCCACGCGCCGGGAACCGAGGCTCGGGGGTGGTTGGGGAGAAGGGGGAAAACCCCATCCCATCCAGTCC